GCTAGAGCCAATATATGTTCTGGCCCTAAAACACTAGTCTTGGTAAATGCATCATATAATGCACCCGGTCTATGCTTCAAAGAAGCTAAATTTGAATGATAGAGGAGTTTCATAAGCATGTCATTCCTCCAAGTTTTTATCTCTTCTTGCTCCCAAGTTATTCATATTAACATAGTCAAGTTATCAATGGAATAGTTCATTTAGATTAGATTTTGGAGCGAAGATCGGTTATTTTTTTCTAGAGTAAATAGACTCATTCCTCCCATAACAGCAGACTCCACACTAATAATAAATTTTTCACAAATATCTGCTCTAATTGCTAAGACAGATAAAGGCGGAATTAAGGCTGGATAGTAGAAGTCAGCTAGGGGATCTAATTCAAATTCTCCGATATACATAGTCCCAATATTTTCTAAATAATCCGAAAGTCTATCAACATATTTATAACCTTCACGAATCAACTTTTGGGATAGCTTTGGGGTGATCCATCGGCCAGTTAGTATATTAAGTACTGTTTTTTTCATGTCCATAGAAATGAAATAGTATGATGTGGTATATATTTTTCATTTATGATATACTTTTTCTACCCAAGTTCAATTCAGATTTTTCATTTTGAAATTCGATTCTATAATGAGGAAGGTGCAAGAATATAATAAATGAATCATCTTATCTGCCCACATATTAGAAAGGATGGGAGCACTTGTGGCCGAGTCTGCACCCGCTTGGCAGGATGTTCTCTCCACTGGAAATCGGGTGCAAATAATATACTAAAATCTCCATGTAAAATATGCGATAAATCTATATTATCTTATACAGGCTATTGCTTCAAGCATACCAAAAAAATTTATCATCGCCTCGAAAGAGAGAGACAACGAATAAGTTTATCATAATGATGATGCCTACTTGTATGATGGTCAGTTACTTTAGTAAACCCCTATTAATAAAATTTTTCTTAGCACTTTCTGAGACGGCCCATCCTGGAAATTTTTTGGTAATTTTCAGAACATTGAACAATTCCTTTCATTTTATAAAATTATTGATAATGTCAGTTAACAAAGCTAACTCATCCAAGCTTGAAGTATTGAGACAGTGTATCATTGATCTAGAGACTGAGAACAGTAATATTAAGGCTGAGAAAGCTGAACTTGAAGCTAGAGATGCTGAGCTTAAGGCCAGAATTGAGGAGCTAGAAAAAAATAAAGAAGTTACCACCAAACTTGAGTCCGAGAATGCTGAGCTTAAAGCTAGAGTTGCGAAATTAGAGGAGGATTACAGGCAAATACAAAATAGTAATGTTACCAAGGTAACTATTTCTCCTAACAACGGTTCACCTAACTTCAATTCTATTACAGAGCAAATATCAGAGAGCAAACAGGATGTG